CTGAATATCATGAAATGACAAAAAAGACGAGGAGAAAGCGAGCAAGATAGATAGATAGATAGATAGATAGATAGATAGATAGATAGATAGATAGATAGATAGATAGATAGAAACAGACTGAGATAGATAGATAGATAGATAGATAGATAGATAGATAGATAGATAGATAGGAGCAGACTGAGAGATAGATAGATAGATAGATAGATAGATAGATAGATAGATAGATAGATAGATAGGAGCAGACTGAGAGATAGATAGATAGATAGATAGAAACAAACTGAGATAGATAGATAGATAGATAAATAGATAGATAGATAGGAAGAGACATAGATAGATAGATAAATAGATAGATAGATAGGAAGAGACATAGATAGATAGATAGATAGATAGATAGATAGAAGATAGAAACAGACTGAGATAGATAGATAGATAGAAACAGACTGAGATAGATAGATAGATAGATAGATAGATAGATGAGGAGAGAAATAAATAATTGGCTGATTAGTTTTTCTATGGGTTATCCAAAGTTTTGCATGTTATTTAAAGACATAATAATATTTTTAGACGACTGTAAGAAGTTTTTTTAAATAATTATGATATAATCATACATGATTTACTAATTAACCGATAACTGGGGGAGGGGGTATTTGAGCGTATGTAAATATAACGAATCCAACGAGAATGGGGACGGGGGCTTAAGATTAACAATTCCCAGCAATTACACCACCGGTACATTCAAGCTTACAGCAACTGTTATTCTTCAGCGGGCACCCATCTGACCAAGCCCGCCGTTGCTTAACTTCAGTGGTCGTACGAGAACTAGAGATAACAGACCGTTATGATTTTTGCTTACTATTAATATTCTACGGGGCGACTGGGCAATTAGACAAAAATGCTTATTTTTCTAGAAATTAAATTTACATCGGCATGTTACATATACATTTGATTGAATTGCAATATTAGCAAATAACATCTTCAATATGATTTTCATTTGTGATGCAACGGTTGATGCGCTTTGCAAGTGTCACGTGAACTCGACGCAATAACCCCTGCATTGTTTCCAGTTTTAGCACATTCAACTTTACGCATTCATTCAAGTGTGTTGCATCTGTGATTTTCATTGAGTACACCTTCTCCCTAAGCACACCCCAGTAACAGAAGTTAATTCTTTCTTCTTTCGTCAAAATCTTGTTCAATCTGTGACGGTAAAAAATTATGGTTAATGAGATTTCCTTTGCGTCCAGTATTTAGGAACACCCTTTATTTTATAGTGGACATTTGTCTCGTTTTATCAACCCTGAAGTAAATACTTACCTTATACTTGTTCATTTCTCCAGTAGTTTCTTTCTTTTTATGCGCTATGTCCTTTTAAAACGTAGGCGATCATGGCTCTCCACATCCCTTTATCCCTTGCAACTCTCAGCAAGCTCCTTCCCTCTCCTTTCCCCTCCAGGCCACGTTGACATCCACTTGCTCAAGCTCGTCGGGTATGTCACGCGCTGCTTTCCGTTGTCTCTTGTCTCTCTCTCCCTCTATTTTGGAATGTGTCCTTGGCCATCCCAATACGTCTACGGATCTCAGTGCCGCATCACTTAATTAATATCAAAGACCATTGTTAACGAATTATTTTCGCACGCCATTACTACTGTATACGATTCGATACTAAATATCTCCCTCATATCTTTAGCTATTTTCACCAATAATTTATATTACCCCTTACCCCGAATCCCGTTAATCATTAACCTTGAAAGAGCACCGGATCCACTGCAGCCATTAAAAAACCGGCGTCTCTAGTGCACGCCTCGTTTTGAATTTAGATTTTTTTTCTAGTCTAGTCGCAAGCGCAAGGCTAGAGAGC